CCTTAGCATTCTTACTATTACTCTTAATACGAATACTCTTCCTCATCATCATCATTATCATCATCCTCCGTATCCAACACCGTGCCCTCCTCCTCCTCAGCATCCTCCTCATCAATCCCACCTCCTCCTCCTCCTCCTCTTCCTCCTCCTCCTCCGCCTGCTCATCCTCTTCCTCATGTTCATCCTCCTCCTCCTCTTCCTCCTCCTCCTCCATTCATTTACCTTATGAAAACCTTCTCCATGCCGCACCCCGAGGCCAGTTTTTAGGGCGGGCTGGGCGTTTCGCCTGAGATTCCCTCACCATTTATGATTATGAAGCTGAATAATTGGCAACAGTTTCACAGATGGAGGGCGGGTGCCTTTCAAAATGTGGTTCTCGCCTCAGCGCCGCGCACATTCGTCTTAAAAATTTGCAAGAGCTTCACGGATTGAGGGCGGGTCGTTTTCAAAATGTGGCTCTCGCTTTAGCGCGGCGCACATTCGTTTCAAATGATACGGGAGAAAAAACCCAAACGTAATCTTTTTAGGGTTATAGGGTTATGCGGCTATAGGGCTTCAGGACCATAGGGCTATACGTCTATAGGGATATCGGGTTAAAGGGCTACAGCCATATAGAGCTATAGGGCTATAGGGCTATAGGGCTATAGGCCTACAGGGCTATCAGGGCTATCAGGGCTGAAGGGCTATAGGACTATAGGGCGATTGGGCTAGAGGGCTGCAGGGTTGTAGGGCTATAGGGCTGTAGGGCCATGGGGTCATAGGGCTGTAGGGCTATAGGGTCATAGGGCTGTAGGGCTATAGGGCTATAGGGCTACAGGGCTATAGGGCTATAGGGCTATAGGGCGATAGGTCTATAGGGCTATAGGGTTATAGGGCTATTGGGTTACAGGGCTAAAAAAGTATTATGATTATAGGGCTATGGGGCTATAGGGCTATAGGGCTATAGGGCTGCAGAGCTGTAGGAACATAGGGCTGCAAAGCTATAGGGCTATAGGGCTATACGGGTCTAAGGCTATAGGGCTATAAATCTACTTGGGAAATTTGGGCTATGGGGCTAGAGGGCTATAGGGCTATGGGGCTAAAGGGCTAAAGGGCTATAGGGCTATAAGGCTATATAGCTATAGGGCTATAGGGCTATAGGGCTACTGGGCACCCGGGCACCCGGGCACCCGGGCACCTGGGTACCCGGGCACCCAGGCACCGGGGCCCCCCCCCCGGCACCTCCGGGCACCTCCGGGCACCTCTGGGCACCCCTGGGCACCAGTGCACCCGGGCACCCACGGGCACCCGGGCACTCGGGCGCCCAGGCCGGCCACCGAAATCGGCGGCGAGCCTCACCCAACCGTATGAATCCGCTAGGTCTCCTGCAGAGGTAAGCTCTGATTGGTGAAAATTTGCCAGATCTTCACTGATTGAGGGCGGGTCGTTTTCAAAATGTGGCTCTCGCCTTAGAGCGGTGCACATTCGTTTCAAAAGTTTGCAAGGGCTTCACGGATTGAGGGTGAATAGTTTTCAACATGTGGCTCTCGCCGTAGCGCGCCGCACATTCGTTCTAAAACTTTGCAAGAGCTTCACGGACGGAGGGCGGCTCCTTTTCAAAATGCGGGTCTCGCCTTAGCGCGGCGTACACTCGCTTCAAATAATAATAAAACAACAAAAAAAAAACAAAAAAAAAAAAAAAAAAAAAAAAAAAGGGATTCCCATCATCAACGTACTAGAAACGGCGTGCTGGAAAGATTCAAGATTTTGCGGGTGCAACAGTTACATTGATTCCGAAGTCCTAGGAATGGCGTTCTGACGCGACTCGGGATCGTCAAAACGCACCAGTCAGGTTGATCCTTGGCGTGGGAATCCCAAGAACAATGTTTCGGCATGGTTCAGGGTCTTCACACGGGCAGTTCCATCAATGGGAATGAACCGTTATAGGGGCCTATGAAGAAGGAGCTTGGAGGGAGGGTTTACTCGACATCGTTGATGATTCTTGGGTTTACACTGGTCCTCCTCCTCCTCATCCTCATCCTCATCCTCCTTCTCCTCCTCCTCCTCCTCCTCCTCATTCTCCTCTTACTCTTATCCTCCTCCTGCTCCTCTGATCCTCCCCCTCCTCCTCCTCCTCCTCTTCCTCCTCCTCTTCCATTCATTTACCTTATAATAACTTCTCCCTCCCTGTCGCACCCAGAAACCAGTTTTTAGGGCGGGCCGGGCGTTTCGCCTGAGACTTCCTCACCATGTCTAACTCTGACGCTCAAAAATTGGCAAACGCTTGACAGATGGAGGGCGAGTCGTTTTCAAAATGTGGCTCTCGCCTTAGCGCCGCGCACATTCATTTTAAGAAATACAAGGGTTGTACGGATAGAAGGCGAGTGGTTTTCAAAATGGTGCTCTCGCCTCAGCGGGGCGCATTCGATTCTAAAGTTAACAAGAATTTCACGGATTGGGGGCGGGTGGTTTTCAGAATGTGGCTCTCGCCTTAGCGCGGCACACATTCGATGTAAAAAATTGCAAGGGCTTCACGGATTGAGGGCGGGTGGTTTTCAAAGTGTGGCTCTCGCCTTAGCGCCGCGCACATTCGATCTAAAATGTGCAAGGGCTTCACGGATTGAGGGCGAGTGGTTTTCAAAGTGTGGCTCTCGCCTGAGCGCCGCGCACATTCGATTTAAAAATTTGCAAGAGCTCACTGATTCAAGGCGGTTTCTTTTCAAAATGTGGCTCTCGCCTTAGCGCCGTGCACATTCGCTTTACAAGAGTTTCACGGGTTCCCATCATCAACGTGTAAGAAATGATGTTTTGGAAGGATTCAGGATTACGCGGGGCCAACAGTTACTTTGATTCCCTGTTGAAATCATAAATGTGGCGTCCTGGCGCGACTCAGGATCGTCAAGGCGCACCAGCCAAGTTGATCCGTGGCGTTGGAGTCGCGAGAACGATGTTTCGGCATGGTTCAGGGTCTTCAAACAGGTGTCTTCCAACGCGGCAGTTCCATCAATGAGAATGAGCCGTTGTATGGGGCCTATGAAGAGGGAGCTTGGAGGGAAGATTTACTCCAACATCGTTGATGACTCTTGGGTTTACACTGGTCCTCCTCCCCCTCCTCATCATCCTCCTCTTATCCTCCTCCTTCTGCTCCTCGTCTTCCACTTCCTTCTCCTCCTCCACCTCTGATCCTCCTCCTCGTCCTCCTCCTCCTCCTCCTCCTCCTCTTCCTCCTCCTCCTACTCCTCTTATCCTCCTCCTGCTCCTCTTATCCTCCTCCTCCTCCTCCTCCTCCTCCTCCTCCTCCTCCTCCGCCCCGGCAGCGATGACGACGGCGACGACCCCGACCGCGGCGACGACGGCCACCACCACCACCACCACCACCACTACTACGACGACCACGACCACAACAACGACAACGACAACGACAACGACCACGGTGGCGGCGACGTCGACGACGACGACGAAGACGACGACGACGACGACGACGACGACGACGACGACGACGACGACGACGACGGCGACGACGACTGGCGACGACGACGACGACGACGACGACGACGGCGACCACGACGACGACGAGCCCGACAGCGCTGACGACGACGACGACCACCACCACCATCACCACGACAACGACGACGACGACGACGACGACGACGACGACGACGACGACGACGACGACGACGGCGACCTCGACGACGGCGATCGGCGGCGGCGGCGCCTCCGCCGCGCGCACGGGGCGCCACTGGCGGCTGGCCAGATCCGCGCGAGGGGCCGCGCCCACCGGCGGCGGGGCCTCGCGGCGGACCCCGTGGATGCGGCGGACAACGACGGCGACGACGAACACGGAGACGAAAGCTCCGCGCGGCGCGCCGCGGCGGCGACGACTGGCGACGACGACGACGACTGGCGACGACGACGACGACAATGACGACGACGACCACGACGACGACGACGACGGCGACGGCGGCGACGACGACGGCGGCGGCGGCGGCGGCGGCGGCGACGAGAACGGCGACGACGACGTCGACGACGGCGGCGGCGGCGGCGGCGGCGATGGCAGCGGCGGCGTCGACGGCCGCGCCTGACCACGCGCCACGCGCTGCAGGGTGGACGCGATGCTCGGGTTCCGCAGCCTGGCCAGCGCCGCCCTGGCCCGGGCCTCGGCGGCGCCAGCGAGCTTCGGAGATCGCGCCGTCAAGGCGCATCGGCAGCAGGAGGGCGAGGAGGACGACAAGGAGAGGAGGGAGGAGGAGGAGGAGGAGGAGGAGGAGGAGGAGGAGGAGGTGGACAACGACGAGGGCGGCGACGAAACGAAGGAGCATGAAGAGCATCGCGAAGGGAGGAGGACGAGGGAGGACGAGCGGGGGGGCAGAAGCGGAAGCGAAGGCGCAGGAGGAGAAGGAGGAGGCCGAACCGAACCGATCGGTGCGGCGCGCAAGCTCCAGCACCAGAGTCCGATGTGCCGGCCGCGGATGCTGCCGCATGAAGACGGCACGAAAGACATGCCCCCCATGACCCTTGGCGAGCCCCACCAGCCACACGGGGCCTATAAAATCGACTAGCCCCATTACGGGCCTTGCAGGGCAGAAGGGACCCCACGAAGTCCCCGAGCCGTACACGCCGCGATCAGATGAGACAGATGGCCCCTAACACCCAAGAGCAGCCATGCGCGCGACCAAAGCGCACCATGAGACCAGAAATTGAACGGCGAAACGCAGCCGTGAAAAGATTTAATACATACAACACTCGGGTCGGGAATATCCGACACGGTGCCACAGGCACCGAGCGGCGTGTCGTCAGGTCCCCTCGAGCTCGACGACCACCATGAGGATGAGGGCGACGGCATCCGCGCGGAAAGCGTCGACGACGACTGCGGCGGTGACGACGAACGACGATTGACGACGACGACGACGACGACGACGACGACGACGACGACGACGGACTTTGATTACGACGACGACGGCGGCGACGACGACGCCAACGACCGGCGCCAATGCCGCGAGCACAACGGCGACGTCATCGGAACTCTGGACTCGTGAGGGTTCAATCCAGAATCCGAACCCAATATCCACAATCCAAAATCCCGTGTTCTGGCTTGGTTGAAAAGTGCATGTCGGAAGCCGAACTCGGAATGCGGAGCCTGGAATCTTGAATTCTGGACTAGGCGGTCCAATGCAGAATCCAATCCCAGGCTCGGATTTGCAAGTGCACGCCCCTGGCGCGCTGCAGGCGGGCGCCGTGACGACAGGGTGTGAAACAAGAACGCCACGATGAAAAGACGCATCAACTATCTACTCACAAATGTGCCTTCAAGGGTCTCCCGATCATCAATGCGGGCAACGTCAGCCCAAGAGCACTCATGATCGCCTGGTTCAAATTATCCCTGTGCGACCCTACCTAGGAGTTGGAGCCCCTAGGAAAGCAGCATAAGCTAAGCTAAGCTAAGCTAAGCTAAGCTATGCTAAACTAAGCTAAGCTAAGCTAAGCTAAATTAAACTAAGCTAAGTTCAGCTAAGCTAAGCTAAGCTAAGTTAAGATAGCTATGCTAAGCTAAGCTAACCCACGCTAAGCTAAGCTACTACGAGGTAAGCCAAGCCAAGCTAAGCTAAGCTAAGCTAGCGTAAGCTAAGCTAAGCTACGCTAAGCTAAGCTAAGCTACGATGGCGTAAGCTAAACTAAGCTAAGCTAATATGAGATAAGCTAAGCTAAGCTAAGCTAAGCTAAGCTAAGCTAAGCTAAGCTAAGCTAAGTTAAGCTAAGCTAAGCTAAGTTAAGCTAAGATAAGCTAAGCTAAGCTAAGCTAAGCTAAGATGAGATAAGCTAAGCTACGCTCAGCTAAGCTAAGCTAAGCTAAGCTAAGCTAAGCTAAGCTAAGCTAAGCTAGGCTAAGCTAAGATGAGATAAGCTAAGCTAAGCGAAGCGAAGCGAAGCGAAGCCAAGCTAAGCTAAGCTAAGCGAAGCTAAGCGAAGCGAAGCGAAGCTAAGCGAAGCTAAGCGAAGCTAAGCTAAGCTAAGCTAAGCTAGGCTACGCTCAGCTAGGCTAAGCTAAGCTAAGCTAAGCTGAGCTGAGCTAAGCTAAGCTAAGCTAAGCTAAGCTAAGCTAAGCTAAGCTAGGGGAACCCAGGGGGCGCAACTAGAGGAACCGCGGGGCGGGGACTGGGGGAACCGCCAGGGGCGTTTTACACTGCCCGGCCCCTTTAAGCAAACAAAGTAAGAACCCTCTAGGCAGAGCCTAGGTAGGGAACAAAATCAGATCTCGCAAGTCATCGGACCAACGTGGGCGGACCAACCCTGTCCAAAATCTGGGGCTCTGGGTCCGGAATGCATCCCTGGACTCCAGAATCTGGGATTCTGACTTTGAACCTCAAGAGTCCAATATGGAATCCCATTCTGGAATACCGAGATCTGGAAACCAGCATTTTGGAATCGACAATCTAGTCAGAGCTCGGGATGTGGAATTACTAAGATTCTGGATTCGGCTTTTGGATTGGACCTCTTCGTCTCGGAGCCCAGGGTATGTACCATGGCCCGCTGGACAGCTAACCCGCGACGAAGCCGTGGGTCAGCCCCGCTATGCCTCCGCTGGAGGAGGGGTCCCGTATCTCGTGGTCGGCCTCGGACCACTCCGGCGCACTCCCTCGATCTGGCAGCAAGATACGGTCAGAAGCTTTTGCTCTGTGGGGCGGGAGGCTTTGAAACGCACGGGAAGCTCGCGCTTGGGAGTGGGGACGCGGATAGCGTGTCGCGCCGAGGCGTCGTGGGCCAGAGCTGACGGAACGCCACGCTAAGCCGAAGCTCCCAACCGTATGACCTCGCCAGACGTAGGGTCCCGTCTCTCCCGGCTACACGCAAAAACGACTCTGGGCAAGAGTTGCCCTTGGTGCGCGGCGTTTGGGGGGCCCGCGGAGGGACCAAACCCAAGCGCGCAAGACGCTGCTACCGCTTCGCCTCCGGCGATCGGGGAACCCCATCGGGCCCGCACCAAAGGTCACTCCGGCGCAAGATCGCTCTTCGGTGGCGGACTCTGGAAACCTGAACCCAAAAACGCTGTCATCTCTTGGGGGCGCATCTTTTACTTCCTTTTCAAGCCACTGCCCCCTCTCGTCCACAGCTCTGGAGGCCTAGTGTTGGGCTAGTAACACTGTCTACCGAGGCTTACAAACGAGTGCAAAACATCGGCGCAATCGATGATCGATCGGAGCCCTTGAAATGCACAAGGCGGGACCGAAACCCGAGACACTGAGCCCCAGCGAGACACCTCGATCCCAACCTCGCGCACCCCATCCTCTGAGGGGGTGGCACTGCGAGGTCGGCCCCCCAAGCCCCTCTAGGCCCAGGAGGGCCGCCGGCCACAACAAGAGCCCACGGGAACCCCCAGCAAAACCGCTATGTGCCACCCCCTCTAGATGAGCGAAAAAATTGACTCAAAAAAGTTTGATTGCAGCTACTACTCCTAGAGCCCTCCCTCCTCCTCCTCAGTGCTTCTGGCGCTTGCTGCCCTTGCCCTTGGTCTTGCCCTGCTTGCCCGCCTTGAACGCGAGCCGCTCGACGGTCTTCGCCGCCTTGCTCCGCGGCGCCGTGTCGCGCTCCAGCAGCAGCCCTGCCGCGAGGGCGCCTCCGTTGTCCCGCAGCTGCATGAATGCCTGCTGGAGCTCCGGGTGGTGGCATGTTGCGAAGATCCACTTCTTCACCTCGTGGTTCGCGGTGTCCTGCGTCGTCACCATGAAGCACCTGGTGGCGTGGAAGATCGTCGTCGTGTCCTGGACTCTGGTGCTCCACTCCGCGATGCACTTCACGGCCTGCTTCGTCGCACTGGGGTCGGGCCCCTGTTGAATCGCCGCCTCCACCGCGGCCTCGTTGGCTTGTAGTGCTTCTGTTATGCGGTACAACACCATCTTCATCTGTGCGTCGGGGCGCTTGCCCCATGGGTGGCCCTCGAACTCGTCCTCCTTCTCTCTCTCCCTTCCTGCCCACGGCATTGTACTCGTCCACTCCCGCTTCCAAGGCCATCTGAACTTTGGAGTCGGCGCGATTGGTGAGCACAATGTTCACGCCCCGGCTCTGGCTGCGAAGGTTGTCCTCGTGTTGCAACACCAGCTGGGCCATCGCCAGCGTCAACTGTGGGAGCGCCGCCGCGGCCGCGCCTGCCTCGGCCTCCTCTCCCGCTCCTGCCGCGGCCCCGCCCACCGGCTCGGCGGGCCTCTTGGCCCGAATCTCCGCCAGCGGGGTGAACATCACTACGACCCGCTGCTGCTGGGACTGGCGGGGGGGCTGGATGGGCGCCTGGAGCCGCAGATGCCTGAAGCATTGGGCATCTCTTAGCACTGATGTGACGTTGGAGCGTATCCTTTCTGGTGAAAACCTGTTGGCAATACGGGCATGTCTTATTTTCCAAACTCGCCAGAGGAAGATCAAGTCGATTAGCAACTATCCCATGGGCTTGACGTCTGTGGCTATCGAGGCCCTTCGGGTCCCTGCACAAGTGACCGCACTCTGGACACTGAAGCATCTCATACTGCGTTCCATCGGCCCGCTCCCCTCCAGCAGGCGCGGGGTCACTCGTGGCCTGGAAAGACAACACCAATCTAAGGTCAGCCAAGGATAGTTCACAGAACCACCGAAGCCAAGGTTTAGACACTTCAGGTTCGGGTCCAGGGGCTCCTTCCCGAATACCAGCTGAGAGCGACGACCAAAGCGAAGCGAGGTCCTGGCCCAGTTGGGCCACCCTTCCCACGGTTTTGCTGGAGTTCACCCGCTTCTCGAAACTCAGGCGCCCGAAGATCACGGCCCTAACCGCGTACGTGGGATCATACTCAGGAGCCTCTGGGGCCAACCCTGGGGCAATCACTCTCTGCCACCACCTCAGCCGACGGAAGAGCAACGTTGACGAGACCGAATGAATATTAGCCTTGCGACGGATCGCCTCATTGGGGACGTGCTTGACATGAGCGGGAGAACGAAGCAGGTGTCGAAGCTTTTTGTTTTGCCAGCGTTCTAGTTTTTGGAGCTCCGACTGGGTAAGCACCGCGATCTCCATAGCGTATAAGGCGATGGACCGGACAAGTGAACTCCAAAACCGTATTTTGAGTCGGTAGCTAAGGTGTCCTTTAAATACTTTATGGGATAGCCTGCCGTGCACCACATTGGCTCCTTTCACACGTTGTTGTAGTTCTTCCCCCATCGAGTTGTCGTCCCTGATCCTGACCCCCAGGTACTTGACGGACCTTTGGGCGTGTACTTTCACTGAGCGACCCTCGTAGTCAATCATCTGGATCCCCGTACTTTTGGCGTTAATTTCCCTTCGGATTTTCTTGCACCCCGTTCCCGAGGACATCATCATGAGTTCGAGTTTTGGTACATTCATCTTCATGCCCCCCTCGTTGATCATTCGGAACAGGAACTGGAGGTAATCGGCAATCCGATCAAAATTCTCGAAAACGGCCAGACCTATGAGATCGTCGACGAACTTGACCTGAGACACGTCTAACTCGGCATTCACCTCTAATTCTAAGATGTCCCTGCCCCTGTACTTTTCGAAGTTGGGGTCCGAAATCACGGTGACCCCCTCGAAGCCCTGAACGACCTGCTGGGACGCAATCTCCTGGGTGATGAAATCATAGATGGCAATGAAGAGGAGCGGCCCTTCAACGCTTCCCTGACGAACCCCACGACGGATCAGGAGTGTTCTACACGGCCTGTTTGTTTTTACATCACGCAAAATGTAACGTGTCCCGTCGTGTAGGGCCTCAAGTGTTAGTCGGACGCCCTTCGAAACAGCCAGCCTGTCCAGTGATTCCCAAACCTTGTCCCTGGGTAACAAATCGAATGCTTTTTCCAAGTCAACAAGAGCAGCGACCAAGATCAGCGCAGGGAGGTTGGCGCGACTTCGGCACACCCGAAAACGACGAATGATCTCATCCACAATAACCACTGCGTCTCGTGTGGATCGCTGTGGCAATGCACCAAATTGGGTAGTAGATAATCGGCCAGCGCACTTACGTAACTCGCCCATGCATGCTACATTGATGAATGCTTTCCCCATGTGGTTTATCAAATTGATCGTTCGATAATGATCTTGAGCGTTACGTCCGTCACCTTTGGGTTTGCGAAGCGATACCGTTTCTCCATCTTTGAATCTCTGGGCAACCTGCTTCAGCTGGTGGCAAGCCTGGAAAACTTGGGTCAAGGGTTCGGCGACGTAGTCAAGGCAAAGCTTCCATATTTCTGCTACCGCCCCGTCTAATTGTGGTCTCGGCGTCGGTGACAACGCACTCCCGGGATCACTCCACTTCAAAACGGGGGCCGCCTTATGGTTGGGTAGTTTTCTGACCGCTTCAATCGTGTTCTCGACGGTGATGGCCTCCGAGGGGTCGTCCAAGAAGCCCACGCCGTGGCGTGGAGGCCGCTGCGGTGCAGACTCCGTAACATCTTCCGCCTGAAAAATGGTACACATGGCTCGGGCTCGTACTTCCATCTCCTCCTCGTGGTCAAAGCATACCGTCCCAGTAGCAGGGTTGTGGACCGTCATAGATGGCGCCGTGGGCTTCGGAGCGATACGTCTAATAATAGCGTAGCCCTTCCTGATGTCGTTGTGATGGTCCGCCTGCTCAGCTTGGTCAACTAGCTCTGCTGTTCGTTCTGTTCGTTGTCTACGAAAGGCTCGTACTGCTTTCTTCGCCAACCGCATGAAGTGCTTGTACTGGCTCGTTAGTGTCTTGTGTAGCCAGCTCTCCGGGACAGCCTTGGCGAGCATGCGTTGGTAGAGTTGCTTCTTGGCGATAAGCTCCCACGTCTCGTCAGGAAAGGCGGGGGCCGCCTGCTTGGTGGGCGGCGTGGTATAGATGTCCACCGCTGCGTCTACGATAGCGCCCTCGAGGGCATTGAAGTACTCAGACGTCGTGCCATACGCCTGGCCAGGACCACAAACATGTTGCCACTCTCCCTGGAGACGTCGCTCACGAAGATGCCGATCTACTGTGCCACACAACTGTGAGACCCGTTCGGGGATCGTGGAGCTCTCCTGCTGCTGGGCTCTCTGCAGGTCCTTGAGGTCTGTCATAATGAGGTCCCTATTCCAGCGAAGCTCTGAAGGAGGGCGTTGTAGCTTGCACCGTAGTCCAGCATATATCGTTGCCTCCACAGGTCGATGATCCCGATAGCCTCCCAAGCTCACTGGGAGGTCAATGAGCGGCCGGCTCGCTCGGCCGTAGCCTCCCTGGAGACGCACGCACACGTAGTCAATCGTTGACCAGCTCACCCCGTCCGTGTGGACCCACGTGGAGTTGAAGCGAGAGGCCTTGCCGAAAGTGTTGAGGGCTGCCAATCCTTGGTTCTGGAGTACCGACAAGAACTTGTGGCCATTCTGGTTCGTCCTGCTGAGGGACCTCCGAGAGCCTGCGAAGCCTGTGTTAGGAGGTGATGGGGCCACTGATGCGTTGGCATCTAAACACCAAACCAGGGCTGAGCGGCCGGGGATCCTCGAGATGGTGTCTTCGCACTGCTGCCAAAATGCATCCTGGGACTTCCAGTGTTTTTCATTCACTTCAGTGGTCTGGCCCTGGGGCGCTCTGGGAGGCTCGTTGGTCCAGGAGTACCCGTTGAGGACGTAATGGTCTCGGGGTCGACGGCCAGCCCTACGTAATCGAACACCCAAATCTTCAGAAGTTGTTTTGAACGCTTCTTCCGCAACATTCCAAGGCCCGACGGGGCCGAGGGCGAGGGGTCGACATGGGGTTCAGGACAAACACCGCTTGTGGCAAGCGCGGCTATCGAGGAGCGAGTCCAATGCTGACCTTTATACCAGCAGGCTCCTGTCAGTGCCACCAGCCTCAGTGCACGTCGATGGGCTCGTTTGTTCCCCATACGCCCTGGCTCCCGCAGACGTTCCTGACGTCAACGACTGGATTTTGCGGTTCAGCTCGGTCGGGCAGCCGAGCAGCGCTCACCTCGCAGGCGTCGGCGTCGTTCTCCACAGCCGACTCCCTCATGCAGCAGCGGGCAACGCCATGGCTGGGGGGATGCTGTGAGTCAGCCTGGTGGGGAGTTGCGACCCCACGCGCGCCCGAGCAAGCGACGTCCTTGAGCCGCCGAGGCTTCCTTTTACTTCCGCCGCCTTCCGCCGGCCTTCCTTTTTGGACGCTACTCCCATTCCCAAGGAAGTTTCGCGGGGACAAGTAAAAACAACCGCAATAAACCGCGGCGCAACCTAAAAGACCTAAGGTGCCCTCAGGTGCCCGCCGGCCTTCTGCCGGCTTCCGCTGGCGGAGGCGGCCTCGCTTCACTTCCGCCGGCCTTCCGCCATCCCTCCACCGAGGAAGCACCGGCAACTCCTTCGACCCTCGGAGGCAAGTCCCTTTTTGGAACGCCTCACGTGCCTGGTCACGTGACCCTCCTAGTGGTGGTGAGGAGGAGGAGGAGGAGGAAATGAAGGAGGAGGAGGAGGAGGAGGAGGAGGAGGAGGAGGAGGAGGAGGAGGAGGAGGAGGAGGAGGGGGGGGGGAGGAGCCCGCGACCCTCCTAGCGGCGACACCCTTTGGCACTGCCCGAACGTTGGCGACCCCGTCGTCGACACCCTCTCGGACGCTTCTGGGGGGCCGAAGTAATCCGAACATTCGCCGACCCTTCGGCGTGGGTGAGACGCTTCGGCGACCGTCGGCGAAGTTCGCCGACCATTCGTTGGAGTCGTCGTCGTCGTCGTCGTCGTCGTCGTCGTCGTCGTCGTCGTCGTCGTCGTCGTCGTCGTCGTCGTCGTCGTCGTCGTCGTCGTCGTCGTCGTCGTCGTCGTCGTCGTCGTCGTCTCCAGCGCACGCCTTCCCCGCTCTGGCCACGTGCAGCGGGGGCCCCGGCGGAGGCACGCCCAGGACCCCCCGCGGGCCCCTCCCCGGAGGAGCGCCAGCTCTGCATGCCCGAGTCGCCCTTTCTGGAGGCCCTCCTCATCCTCCTCCTCCTCCTCCTCCTCCTCCTCCTCCTCCTCCTCCTCC